AGCTGACTTTCCATAGTCAACAGAGACCCAGCTATCGATAGTGGATGATCAATAGCGCTATCAATAGTACTATCAATAGTTTAGAAAAGCTATCAATACTATCGATAGTCAATTTTTCGACAGTTCTGCATCACAAATGTACAGCCCCACCTTCGCAGTCACTCTGCTTCCATAAGGGGAATCTTCTACTGCGGTCAAGTTACGTTGCCACATTAGCGGCTACAATAAAGATTTAGGTCAATCCTTTGAGATGTCAAGTAAAAATCGCCATCAAAGTTAAAGCCATTTCCCCTCAATACTTCCCTCTCTTTTCCCAGCTTTTGCCTTTTTACACTCACAAGGTTGAGTTGACTGGCCATTAAACATTCGCTGCACAAGATTGGACCACATAAGTTGTCCTGAATCATGTTTATCAGTTTCATTTTAACTGCAGTATAGAAACCCTTTATGAATGTAGGAAACAAAAGCTGCAAGAGCGAGCTCATGGCCTTCTAATGTTCTCTGCAACCAGAGCGTATGTGATACAATGCACTGTTCCAGAGTTCCCAGCGTGGAGGAAAGTATGACTTAGTAAAAGGTCACTCCACCAAGCTAGTCTGCCCATCTGGAAAAGGAACAAAGCTCTTTGCTGACCCTAAACATAACCATGAGCATATGGAACAACATAAGCACTGTGCCACAGTGGAAACCATCCAGAGCAGGCGCACAGAGACGCGACACAAAGCACCTAAGGAAGAGTGGCATCACAGCCACGCAACATGCCGAAACCACAAGCCAGTGGGTGAAACACTCGAGGGAAAAAAGATAAGCATTGACTGTAGAACAGTACAAAGGCCAACTCATCTTTTACGACTGCTTTTAAGCAGTCCTAAAAAGTTAGATGGACAGCTTCCTGTTGCTCCACCATTAGCTAACCACTGAAAATGCACAACCAACTGCAGACACCCGTAAGACAAACAACTTGTAGGAACTGCTAAAAATACACTTAGTGCAGGTGCAAGTCCCTGGTTCAGAAAATAGCTTCAAGAGCACATGCAGCAGAGATCCTTGCCAATTTGCACTTAGCAAATGCCCCATGCAAATTGATGCAATGGCATTGAAGTAGGTGGGGCACTTATGCAAGCCAGGAGTCTTGAATGCTGCACAAAAGTTTCCACCTTGAAAGAAAACTTGTGACAGCAAGCACTAACCATGTCTAAAATTGAATACACATGGGAACCTAGCTTAACCTGAAGTTGAAAGTATAAGGGGCATAGCACATTAATGTACAATTCCCTTCTGTGCATATGTCCACCTTCTCGACAGTTCCCAGCCCCTTGCACCACCTGTGCGGCAGCTTCTCCATGGTGGAGCCACTTTTCGGGAGTGCCCCACACCCACGCCTGGACAGCTGCTTCCAGCTTATTACTGACCACGTAATGGCACTCTCGCAGGGCTTTTCATTGGACCCAACAGGTGGTAACCACGGGAATCAGTCAGGCCGTACCTACCGTAATATACCGGGCAAGTGCCCACTCAAAATTTAGATATAATCGTGAAAAAAATGGGGGATGGGCGCTTGTCCGGTCATCAATTTTACATATCAATGTATTGTGCGCATTTCCTTAGATCTTATAAATTTGGGAATGGACGGATACGTGGTATTCTACGGTATGCGCAACCAAAGGTCTAACTCGTCGCATGGCATGCCGAAAAGACTGCCAAACCCCATCAGACACAGGCCAATCACAGCCTCGTATCAATGCACACAATGCAGTGATTGAACGGCGTCTAATTAGGCTTGGCCATTTTTTGGTCATTATAAGACCAGTCAGACAATTGGTTGCACATGCGTATAACCTGACCTGGACCCCAGCGTTTATCACCTGTTGGGTGGCATGAAGAAACCCCTGCAAGGACGCCCTTTCGTGGCCATTGATAAGCTGAAAGCAGTTGCCCAGGCGTGGGAGCGAGACAAGAAGTGGCTCCAGCAGGCATGGAGAGGCCTCCACACAGGTGGTGCATTTGGCTAGAGAAGGAGGACGTACGTACAGACCACTAAGTGACTGGCATCTGTAGCAAAATATTAAATTGGAAATCAAAATTGTACGCTCCTCGTAAATTAATTTCTAGAAACCCCAATAAAATCAACATTGAAACAGAATTCAATTCAAACAAGTTTTGGGGACACACCAGTATAGAATGCAAGTCAGTTGAAGAAAATTCAATTCTAAAAATTCTATTGTGGACATTGAACAGACCCTGAAAAAAAACACAAACTATGTCGGAAATTTTCCTAAACTAAACATGCAGAGGCAACAGATGGCATCTTATATTCAGAACTGATATTTTATACATAAAGCAGACCAGCAAAAGAACATAAAGAAAAAGCAACTCCAAGAAAATCAAGGATGACCTAGCAATAGTGATTAACGCAGCACATCGAATTCTCTGCTACGTTTCTATTAACAAGGTCACAGATGTGCTTCAATATAGAGCACTCCGCTAGTTCTGACGCACTCAAGAATTGCAGAGCAAGCATGGCACCCCCTTCTGCAATGCTGCGGTGCCAATGACAGAAGAATATGTGTACCTCCCTTGCTGCTGCTTACGAAACAGCATAAACTTGGTGGAACATCTCTTCTGAATACAACTGCTCTGTACTGCGACTAGCTATCGAACACAATGCCATTTTGTTAGCCCCTTTGTATATACTCTTTGGCAAGAGAAACAATTGAGTGATGCAATGCGAGGTGGAGCGTGCGGCAGACGTCATCCCACACAGGCGTTTCCCCTCAACTAGCAGCGCAGAAGCCGCCACTCCTTGAAATTTCAGCAGAAACCTGGGATTGTGTTTCATGCACTCTACGGCGTGCGCTGCCTGGATTTGCCGCAACCACGCTCCAACGGGCTTTCTGAACTTCGAGCCAGGATTAGCTTGCAAAGAGATCCTAGCAAAAGAGCACATTTCAACTGTTCCAATGAAGCGAAATGTCCCCACAAGTTGCACTGCAAACAAGAACCATGTGACAGCCCCGATAAAGAGTGCCACGGCCGAGCGATAAAAGCCGGCTGACATGCCGCATGTGCACCAAGTTCCAACAACATTTCTCCCCCAGTGCAGCTGGCAACAAGGCCCAATCCGTTGACTGCACGCCAGCGAGCTCCGAACACCTGCGACAGCCCCGCTGTAAAATTAAGTACTTTCGGAAAAAGAAATTCCATCGAGTGTCCTCATTTCACGCTGAGATGGGCGATTAAAGTACGAGACCAGGAGAAACACGATAATGAAAGATTATGAACACAGGCGCGACATAGTCGAAAAAGATGTCAGAACAGGGCAGTTTCTTGCCCAAGGTCACGGATCGAGAACGAAAAGGTCAAGAGACCGGGAGAAACACGACAATGAAAGATTATGAACACAGACGCGCGACACTGTAGAAAAAGATGTCAGAACAAGGCAGTTTTCTGCCCAAGCTCACGGATCGAGGATGAAAAAGTCAAGACGCACATGTGACGATGAATCACTCGGTGTGTACATCACAGCTCCGGGGGCGCCGATGGGATCCTTCGGCGGTCGGAGCCCTCGATAGCGGGGCGCCGCAGCTAGGACATCGCGTTCCGAGGACACTGCCCCCTCAGGGGTCCAGTCGGGGTCATCGGGAATAGCGGTCCCCCGCCTTGTCTCGGCGCCGAATCTTAAGCCGCGCCGAAAGCAGAAAAGCAAACCCGGTCTGTCTGCAAGAACCAGTAGAGCCGATTCTACGGGCCTAGAGAAGAGGGTCAACACGAGCCTCCTCCAATCTCATCGGCTCACTGACCTACATGCCGGGAGCCCGCACCGAAATCGAAACCGGGTTAGCCCCAAAATCGTACTGCTCGAGGGCATCTCCGAGAAAAAGAAAAGGGTCTCGCCTGACGGTGATAGCGGAGCAGAGACGATGCTGCGTAGTACCGGTGCCACCAAACTTTCGCCACTCGTCTGACGTGGTGCCCACCTCTGTTTCGTGGCTTGCGTCAATCGCACATTGCTCAACGGCCGCCCCATGTTTCGAATGTCTCACGGCGATGACGCATGCATCGTCGTCTGCGGGCAATCCGTGGCAACGCGCCCGCAGAGAGGGCGGAAATCCCGTCATCTTTTCCTCTTCTGCGAACGCGGCGGCCTTGCCCGCCCATCTCCGTGGGCCTTTCACCGCGCCTTCCCAGCGATGAACTCCCAGTTCATTGCCGGCCATCAAGTTTTTCAGGGGGCACTCGCCGCCAGCCGCCTTCTCTGAATCGCTAAAAGCAACGGCGCGCGAAGGAGGCGAACGTAAAAACTACGAGGAAAAAACACAGCGCAAACTATTTACTCCTCCATTTTCTTTTTTTTTTTTCCACGAAGGTTACAGCGTTCGTTGGCCATCGGTGCTCCAACGGATGCGAATAAAAAAAATAAATAAAACAAACACACCGGCAAAGCTGTTTTTTTTTTCCTCTAACTTGCTGTATAGAAGAAAGCAGTGCTAACGTGTGACCCTGGCAGGCCACGCTTTCCAGCGCATCGCATCGTCCTCGACGAAAACGGGCATTTTGGAAGCGCGGCGGAGGACAGCCTTTCGATTCGGTTCCACGCAACAAGGCGGCCGACTGCACGAAGCGTCCCCAGCGTCTCCCTCATCATTTACTCGGACGTCGTCGCGCACTTCACACACCGGCGTCGCACCCGACGACACGCACGAGTTCCAGGCCCGCATGCGGTGATGACGCAATCCCCTTTGTGCTGCCCAGAGAGCGACACGTGAAGCCCGGCGGCTACAGCCGAACAAGTCACTAAACCTCGCTCCAAAAGTAAAAAATGAAGGGCGGAACCATCGACCCGTACGTGTGTAACGGTGCTGAACGAAACGTAGTGCCGAGGCGGAGGTCACACCAGTCGTCCACCGAGATCACAATCGCCACAAACTCGCTGGGGAAGCAACTCGGCTCCACGCGAGCTTCCAAAGCGACGGCCGGACAATGCGCCGAAAGCAACTCACCGGTTTCGTTGGTCTCCTTGTCATCTCCGTCCCGCTTCTGACCGGCCACAAAAATGATGAGCACGACCAAGAGGCCGAGCACCGCCGAAAGCACTAACATGGGAGAGTTGCCCGTTAAAAAGACTAGTTCGTCGGCCATGCTCCTTCCATGTGCCTGCCTCCAGTAGTCTATGACGCGCCAAAAGATACAACCCGGTGCAACGCACCGGGTTTTCACGACGCCACTCGATGGGCGGTGTTTGGCGCCGCCCACGTGACCGCTCACGTCGCGTACGAGAGAAAGAGGGCGCCACATTTTTGGCTTGTTTGTTTCAAGTTGGCGCCAGGTTTTCCGAAAAGCAGACGACGCCGTGGATGGAGTGTGCGCTGGCTGACAAATCACGGGCCATTAATGAGGAAAGTACCGCAGCACTGCGTGGCTTCCTCCTTTCTCAGGCATAGCAAGAAGGCTACTCACACGGCTCTTGTTTTGACGACAGATAAGGACGCTGGATTCGAGAAAAATAACGTACCGTGTGTGTCGATGCACTCGAGTCGCCTGTTTCGACCTTCATTGAGAAGCGAAAGATAGACTCGAGTCTAGATTAGAGTATTGTTTCGGTCAGCTCGTCTGCGGCCATTTTACTTTGCACTGAACAGTATCACGCAGTGTCTCAACATACCAAAACCAGTGTTAGGTAAAATACATTAGAAAATTTCTCCAAATACAAAGTAAATGATAGGCTATGTACGATTTTGGTTCGCGGGGGGGGGGGGGGGGGGGGGGGGGGGGGGGGCGGGGGCAGGGCATGACAAAATGCTGTATGAGGGGAGGGAGGAAAGGAGGGTCCCAGCAAAATGAAAGATTTCGGGGGGGGGGGGGGGGGGGGGGGAGGAAGCATGGGCCCCCCGTGGCTACGTGCCTGGTGAAAATAGCCTGCCGGGCGCAATGTACTCCGAGTAAAGTACTATAAACAAAATTTACTCGCAAAGTAAAGTACACGTAATGGCACGATCTTTCACGATGCCCTGTCATTCCCCTTAACATTTTTTTTTTTTTTTTTAATTGGTACGCATTGCTTCGGGTGTAGTCGGGGGGTGCATCGATTATTTTTGGAGATGAAGCAAATACCGGATAAAGCCTAGTGGTCGCAGAGAAGTTGTTTTACTCTCGCTGACGAACTATTTAACGCTGTCAAATTATAAGTTATAAGGCACTTATTTGTATGGGTCTTATGGTCGTCATTACTTAACTCAGAAATGGTCGCATGACGTTTCGAATGATATCAAACAACAACAATACGCCCTTTTTTTTTTTTTTTTTTTTTTTTTGGGGGGGGGGGGGGGGGGGGGGGAAGGTTGTTGAACACTTCTATTCGGCCTCAGAAGGTTGTTTGCTCTAGTAGTGGGAAAGACACGAGCGCGTAGTCTTTGGAAGAACTTAATTTTCCCGAGTGCAATAAGGCACTTCCCAGACGCATTTCTCGGCGCTTTTCAAAACATAGAATTCTCGAGAAGGACAAAAGAGACGAGTTCTGTGGAAGCTCGCTCCTCCCAGCAGCTTGGCCTACCGAGTTGGCCACGAAACATAACCCCAACATAAGTAAGATCGGGTAGTGGAAACCGAAAACAACAGAGGAATCGCGGCTTGCCCAAAAGACTTTTTTTTTTTTTTTTTTTTTGTGCCCTTTGTTTACCATTGTTTATGGCCCTATAGTACGGCGAAAAGATTTCACAGAATTTGGGGACTGTTGCACCTTGAGGTTGTGGGTTGTACTTTGGTCGAAAAGTACAAGTAGAGAATATACTTCAAGTAAAGTACAAGTTTTCTAAAGCTCAAGTTGCAGAATGAAGAAGGCGAGACGGGGCAGAAGGCGCCAGGCATACTTATGATGCTGTTGGTGGTGGCTTCAATGCGTTTGCCGGAATCAACGATCGATGGTGGTTCCGAAATTCAAAGGAACTTATCTGCGGAGCAAGCTATTTCGAAGATCGCGTGTCCGGTCCCTCTCAGAGTCTCATTGTTTGGAAATATCTCACGAGCAGATTCCATTCCCGTCTCTAGCTCAGCTGTTTTTCAAAATGCCGTCCAGCGAATGAACGGCAGCGAGTGCGCCTGGCCGGAGCACGCCAAACCGAGCGCGTCGCGTAGCCCGCTTCGCTACGCGCCCTGCGTAGAGCTTCCGGGTGACGTGACGCGGCACGTGGCCAACACTTGGAACCGCCCATTTCTTAACTTCGTGAAAACACGTACTCCAGTGCGTTGGCTTTCTCCTCGTTGCCAGACGGTGTGTTTGCTTCCCGCCAAATCATTTTTGTTTTTTGTCAATAAGTAGATAATGGTTTTCTTTTTTAGTTTCTTTTTGTCATTATCTTGCGTATCACTCTTGGCACTTTCTGGACTCTGCAAAATGAGCCTTTTCATTTTATACGAAACCTTAAAAATTCATTACAGAATGTTACAATTTATTGAACGACGTAATGGCATCTCTCGAGTGTCGAACTGGAACCGAACCGAAAACCAGACCCGAACAGGAACAAAACCACACCTAAATCTTCGCCGCCATCATAAAACTGCAAGAGAACCGGAAAAAAAAAAAAAAATGTAAACGGTAACCGATTCAAAACGTTTGACAGTTATGTTTCTTTGTTTCTTTCTTTTTCTTTTTTTTTTTTTGTTCATTAATATTTTAAATTGAGTTTGAGCATAAAAACTTGGCAGCTTTATGTCTTTGTATCGATTAAAGGGATACTACAACGAAATTTCGGCGCTCATTTTTTGCTCTATATGTGTTCAAAAAAGCAGCATCACATCGAACATACCAATATCTTGTTAAAAGAGTCACGAAAAGGAATTTTAAAACGAATTAAACGATTAGCAAAGAGCACCTGGTGGATGTCGCTAACGCCTCGCTTGTAATGCCCGTCTAGGAACCTTGACAGCTAGTGACGGAGGTTGTTTTGTCTCCGGCCACGACGAGAGAAGAGGGGCAGGAGGAACTCCCCTCTTCCCGAGAATGCCTTTGGTGTGTCGCAGAAGTCGCTATTGTCCCCCTAAAAGATTACAGAAGATAAACCCGTCACTCAAAATTCGTACAAAAAAAAAGCAGCCGCTTCGGTGGCTGGAACGACTAGGCCATCCTCTCGACGTCAGCCTCGCCGTAGCTTTGCTCGTCTTGAGACGACCTACGTAACGATTGCGTTGGATGTCACGTGGTCTCCGCTGGGCCTTCTCCGAGCGCTTGCCAGAGTGGGCCATTTATAACGAAAAATACAGCCACCAGGCTCAAAATACAAACGTGCGATTGTCATTTACGGATATTGTGGATCATATTCAGCCTATTTTTTAACACGACAGGAATATTTCAAATTTCGTTGAAGTATCCCTTTAAAACCGTCATAAACAGAATTGCAGAGTTGTACGTAGTTCAACTACTCTACTCAAGTTACTGTAGTTTAACTACTTTTCTGAGTAGCTTAGTAGCTTTCAATTACACATTACAAATTACTTTCGAATTTTAGTGGTTGTTTTGCCTATCAACAAACATTCCTGCACAAACGAGATAAGATGTTGGAAGGTCGGGTCACTATCATTTCGGCCGGTAGTCACATTACGGCCTAGAGGGCCGGAAGGGGCGGGGGTGGCTTTGAGGTGAATGGGCTCGGGGGTTGCGTTGTGGTTGACGACCGTAGTTGCCACCATATTGCAAAGATGGCGCCACATGTTTATTTTATTTTTCAGTGCACATTGTACTCTCGGTGACGGCAAATACTGCGATTTTTTTTTTTAAATTTTACTGCTTCATTCTTTACGGAGACGTGTTTGGCATGCTCCGCAACGGAGAAGTGCCTTACACGAGCAGGGCAAGGTAGGCGGCAATCGACGCCATCTGCACCCAAAAGGCGAACCTGGCGCGACAGTGGAGCTACATGAGCGCCGCAGCAGGAATGGAGTGGCAGCCATGTCCAACCTACAGCACCAGTTCGCAGACAACATCAACGCCTTCCTTGATGAAGTGTCCTGGCTGCTGGAGCTAAACAGCTAGGCGAGAAAGGATTTGGAGTCCAGGTTTTCTTTTTAGCATTGTCCGTGTTTTTTTTTTTTTTATTTATTTATTTCCTAGCCTGCATGCATGTGTTTCCTTCAGCGCTTCGCTGTAAAGAGATTGAAAATGAAATTTCTAAAATAAACCTCACTCATCGTCCGCCCGGTAGAATCAGAGACATAACTAATTTAGTTTTGAAGTGCTAAAAATTGAAAAGACGCAATAAATGTTCCACTAAGTTCTTAAAAAGCCGATGATTAGATTAGAATATAGGGATGTTGTACCCAAAAGGTGCCCTAATGTCAAAGCATTTATTTGGAAATACGTGTGTGCCGCAGCAGGAATGGGAGCGGCAGCCACGTCCAATCTACAGCACCAGTTCGCAAACAACAACGACGTCTTCCTTGATGGAGTGTCCTGGCTGTTGGAGCTAAACAGCTAAACAAAAACAAAAACTTAACGGAAAGTTCTTTTTTTTTTTTTTTTTTTTTTTTTTTTTTAGCATGGCTTACGTGTGTTTAATATTTCCCAGCTTGCATGCTTGTGTTCCCTTCAGAGTTTGGCTGTAAAAAGATTGAAAATAAACTTCCCAAATCAAAACCTCACTCATCGTTTTCGCAGCCGCCCGGTAGAACAATGACATAATTAATTTAGTTGAAGTGCTAAAGATTGAAAAGATATAATAACTTTTTACTTATTAATATTATTATTAATATTTTTATTTATTATATTATAATTTATAATTACAATTATATCTATAATATTATAATATTATATTATAATAGCTAATAAAGTCGACTATTAGAATATAGGAATGTTATACCAAAAAGGCGCCCTAAATTAATAGCATTCATTTGAAAATACGTGTGGGCGTCCGTGCTTCCGTGCATGTGTGTG